TTATTTTTATTGCTCTCTTGATTCATCAACGGTTTCAAGCAAGGCCGAGTACTTAGTTAGTAAAGTATTTGTCTGGCTCGTTAGTGTATTTATTTGTATGCGGTGCAAATCAAAAATTGTTCTATTGCTGTATTTTATTGTTTGACTTTTTGAAAGTTTCACTGTCTTCCAAAAAACAACAAATTATTATTTTAATTTACTCGATTAACTGTGCCTTTAGCTGAATAACTGGAAAAAAAAGTAGTAATACATTGGAGTAAAAGAAGGCGATGAAAGCTGTTGAAAGTGATCAGATACGATCACTCTAACACTTATATTTTAGTTCTTATTGTTCCATTGCAACTTGGCTATGCACTAAATGTTCAAAAAAGATGCTTATTTGTATTCAAGTTTTATTGAATAACCCGCCTGTTGAGCTTTTTTCTAGTTAGAAAGGAGATTTATGTTTGGCAAAAATTTGGTGGTTGTTGCCGCTGCTATTGCCGTTCAGCAGGTAAAAAAAGCACGTTGCTTCTTTGACTGTGTTACTGTGGTATAGTTGAAGTTTGATTTTTGCACTGTTGAATGGGAAATAGAACCGGTCAAAAGATTTATTCAAGCTATAAATATTTTTTTAAACCAATGACTGACTTGTTTCAGACTATTGAAACGGAACATTTCAGGTTTGAATATCCAATAAAACACTTTTTTGTTTATCATATAACTTTTGTAACTTCTTTTGAGGACTACTTTGGGGGAATTTTGAGTTGTTAAACAAATACAAAAAAATTAGTGCTTTTTGCATAATCTTAAAGACTTCAATTTAAGTAATATTCGTTAATTTATCGTATTATGCAAAAATAGTAGAGAATCATATGGCTGATGAAACTGGGATTATTCTGAAATAATGCTGGTGATGCTGCTACATTGTGATTGATTTTCCGGGTTTAATGCTCAGAATAACTGAAAAAATCAGGCATTAGTTTTGTTGATTTCGACTCTACTCCGATATGTTGATGCTTTTCTTTGCGGTCTTCACTATTACAGTCTATTTTCTTGCGGCGGTGGTCTGGTGTTCTGGGATTCCGGTTTTTCTGTCATCTAAATGTAAATGCCTCGTTAGCGCTTAGTCATCATTTCCAGCTTAATAACAATTGATTTTGCAAATTACTTTTTTGATGTTTGCGTATTTGAAGCTGTTGTCGAGAACAATAAAAATTCTTTTGAAATTGTCAAAAAGTCGTAGTAATGATTGCCATTTTGGAAGGCGGAAAAAACATTGAAAACAAAATTCCTCGTATGGGGCACAAGTGATACAGCAAGGAAAAGTACTTGAAATCGTCAAAGATACTTTATTCTTGTTGTCAGTTTTATGTTGTTATTTTGACTCTTGCAAGAAAAGCATTTTTTTGCTATTTATAGTGACCGAGACTTTTTCTGCCAATTTTAGCTGTTGTTATTTTGAACAGTACAAGAAAACAGCGAATATTAACATCGTATGTTAAAATTGAGTATTATTTTACGTAATAACAGATTCCTAGTTGTTTGATGGTATTTTTTTTATGATTGTTGATGTACTTGAGGAAAAAGTAAACGAGTGTCATGAAAGGAAGGGGCTGCTACTACTTCTCACTTCAGCTTTTGTCTTGTTTCGCTTTCGCCATCACTTAGAAGAACCCTTACAAGAAAACACAAATTTCAATTATGATGACGAAGCAAAACAGACGGAGTAGCGGTATGTATTAGCGGATTCTGGCAAAATTAATGTTTAGTTTTGTGGAACGAGAAGTTTGTCGTTTTCCAGCTTCAGTTTTGATACCAACTATGACAGCCAATTAGCGATATTAATGTAGTAAATTAAAAGCTAGCTTATTCTTTTGGCGGTACATGGTGAATGAATGAGTGAGTAAAAGATTGAGAGGAGCAGAAAGAAAATGACGAGGCAGAAGTGAAGGAAAAAAGGAGGAAAATGAGGAGAGGTATTAGGAAGTGGAACTTAGCTTTTGTTCTGTACAGTATTGTTGAGCCACTGCGTGGCAAAATGAAAGTTGTCAATCAAAACGGCGCTGTATGTTTGAGCGATCGACAAATAAACTTAAAGTTGTTTTGTTGAAGCAAGAAAAAAGCCGTTTTTTTCTTTATTCTTATTTATTCATTTTATTCTTTTGTTTCCTAAGCAGTTGGCTAACGAAAGATACGTAATAATGGTGCAGAAAAAAGGACGTGAAAATTAAGGAACAGACAGAAGATTGGTATATTTATTCATTTATTTTTTTTTTTTGTTTTCAGTGATTATGTCGTTTTATTGTTGCTCCATTGATTTAATAGAGAGATTTTCAGTGATACAACTATTTGCCTATTGTTCTTTCATCTTTTGCTTGTAATTTTGGGATGATTAAGTTCAATTTTTTTTGCATATGCTATTTTTTTTAGCCATATATTATTATACTAAAATTTTGTATTTCTCGTCTGTTATTATAAGGTGTGTGGGCAGAGAGTTTTTTTGCTGCTGTAACTGAAGAATTGAGTGAAAGTCATAAGCAGAAAATTATTGTAGATGACGTTGTTAATTTTTTTTTTTTTTTGCTTTTCTTATCATTCATACCATTTATCGATCAAACCGATCTTACTTATTGCTTCTTTCTTTGGCTTCGTTTCCGGCTTTTTTTTCTACGACTAATATCGTATCAAATAATTGGTTTGAAAGATGTGGAAGAAATTTTGTGTTTTTTAGTTTGGCATCTTAGGGGTCTTTCAAACGAACATCAGTACAACAGAAATGGCTAGTGGAAGCGAAAAAACCTATGTAAGTTACAAGTATTATTTTTTGAATTTTAAAAAGGTAGAATTATTGGAAAAGCAACAGTGAAAACCAGCGAGACATCGTCTACAATAATTCCAGAAGTCTTCTGAAAAAATGCAAAAAAAAAAAAGGGAAAATGATGCATCAATTTTAGTATGTAGGCCAAAAAATAAATAAATAAATTTAGACTTTCGGTTTTCCTTGACTGTTTCCTTTGACTTTTTTTAGTTTTGTTAACCTGTCGCTAAACGATGGATGATAAAAAAGGATTTAAAAAAATTTTTTTTTTTTCTATAGATAGTATGTGTATTTTAAACTGCAGTCTTAGTTGGCTTTTGAATAATATGTTCATTTTAGCCATTACCATATCGCAGTAAGCTCACGGAGAAAATCGAGCCTGGTCAGACATTGATTATTAAGGGAAAGATCAACGAGGACTGCAAAAGGTGGGTTGGTCGCGGTTGTTGTAGGGGTCGATGGAATTTTTGAATTTCTCGACAGCTAATTTAACATCTGTGATAGTTTAGAAAAGGAAAGAAGAAAAAGATTTTTTTCTTCGCTGATAAGCGAACTCTTTTTTTTCTTTTTTTTTTACATATTTAATTGCTTCAATATGAATTATGAGGATTTACTGAAAGGATTGAAAAAATACTATGTTTATTTATATGAATATAATTTTCAAAATTTTATGATATATAGGCAAATATGCAAAATCGTTTGTATGAAAAGCAGTTAGTTGATTGATTAGTGTTGTCTTTTTTTTTTTTTCAGGTTCAGTATCAGTTTGCATCGCGATTCAGCAGACTTTGACGGCAGCGATGTTCCGTTGCAAGTTAGCATTCGTTTTGACGAAGGAAAGGTGAATAAAAAACTGCTTTTTTTTTACTGCGAAAAATTGCTAAAAAGAGGATGCTTTTTTGTTTTCTATTTGAAACAAATAATTTTTATAACGGTTTTTGAGTGAAGAAAAAAAATTTGCTATTTTATTGTTTTTTAACATGTTCATCAATCATTTGTGCCAGTTTTAAGTTATCACTAAATGTGTGTTGGTTGGTACATATATTTATCGTAAATATATACATATTTAATTATCTATATGGATATAATTATTTATTTGAATTTTTAAAAGGAAAATGTTGTGTTAATTTTCAGTTGGTGTTCAATTCCTTCACAAATGGTGTTTGGGGTAAAGAAGAGAAGCAGAAAAATCCGTTTAAAAAAGGCGCAGCATATGATATCCGGATTCGGTCTCATGACAGCAAATTTACAATCTATTGTGACCGGGTAATTACTGCAACTATTTGCTCCGGCTGGATGTTTTAGACAATCTGATAACAAATTCAGCTTCTACATTGTGACTTTATGGAGTCAGAAGTATTTATGTCATTCTACCAGCTAACCGCTGTTTCAGAGGCTCTTATCACTTTGAGAAATGTTTAACTTTTTTGTTGTTGTTGTTGATTAAGAGTTTTGATTTCAGAAGGAGGTAAAAGAATATGAACATCGAGTGCCTTTGCAATGGGTATCACACATCTTAATTGATGGGGACACTCAGTTGAACCACGTACAGTGGGGTGGCAAATACTACGTAAGCGTTTTTTTGCCTTATATCACTTAATCACATTTCTAATTTTTTTCTGTGCCGGATGGTAGAATTTAAAAAAAAAAACTAAAGAAGTTGTGGTTCTGAAAAATCTTCGTTTTTCAGCCAGTGCCGTATGAATCTGGTATTGCTGGCGAAGGCTTAACACCCGGAAAATCACTGCTTATTTATGGTATTCCGGAAAAGAAGGGCAAACGATTCAACATTAACTTGTTGTGCAAGAATGGTGACATCGCACTGCATTTTAATCCACGATTTGATGAAAAAGTAATTATATACATCATTTAATTTGTCATTTTTAGGCACCTCTTCTCTACCTTTAACTGACTAGGACTTTTTATTTAAAAAAAAATTTTTTTTTTCGTTTTTGTGTCTTAAAGTTTCCAATATGGTTGTCGTTGCAAATGCGTATACAGTAACTAAAGAAAATGGAAACAAATAAATAGTTTTTTTTGTCTTATTTAAATTTTAAGGTTAAAGGATACGTTATTTTCAGCATGTTATTCGTAATTCATTTTTGGATAACCAATGGGGTAACGAAGAACGAGAGGGGAAAAATCCGTTTGAAAAAGCAATAGTTTTTGATCTGGAAATAAAGAATGAAGTTTATGCATTCCAGGTTGGTTTCATGGTTAATTAATCATCTAGTTTGTTAATTAACTGATTAATGCTGGTGTTGATAAAATATCTTAGTCGTCATTATCAACAACAGTTTTAAGTTCTTTCTTCAAGAACAAAAGCAGCCTTAGGTTTCACGGTCGTTGGTTGAATTCAGTACTGCTTAGTGCTCGGAACAGTTGTTCATGTTTTCCTATGTGCGGTTTTGGAAATGAGCACTTTTATATTCGCCAAAAATATTGAATGTTAGGGATGGAGGAGACTGATAAACAGAGCAAATTTATACTTGACTAAGATAGAGAAAGTAAAATATTAATAGTTTAACTTTTTTTTCTTCTTTTTT